GCGTCTCTCGGGCTTTTGCCGAGTACAGATCTTTGGTTTTCAATCGTGAATCGCGACATATAAATCTCTGACTACCTCGAAACGGCGAATGCACCACGCCGAGACACGGGGCATCTGATTATCATTCGCAAACGTCGCGCTATGCTACCAGTGCCGGTGACATAACGACATAGTGGAGACGGACTACTGCTATACAACGATAGCACATGTCCTACGGCGACCTATCGATCTATGAATGGTTGACGACCGCTAATGCGACCTTGAAGCGTAAACAATGCTCATTATAGGACCTGCTTGTCGGACGGTAGCGCCGATGGAACTTTTCTGCCCAGTCAGGTACCTGCCAGCCATGAAAAGGGTTTGTCGACATAGATGAGTAACTGCTTATATCAATCTATATACTACCAGCACCGGAAGTAAGAAGATGAACGCGATCGTTGGTGAGCCACGCAATCCGCCGACACCCGCAGAAACGCTTGATGCCATTGCGCTTTTACATGCTTCAGGTGTGGGATCTGTAAAGAAGCAAGAGCGCGAAATTAATGAAGAGTGAGAATAACACATACACATATACATATACATATACATCATATATATCATATATATCCCTCCCTCCCCTTCCTCTCTCTCTCTCTCTCTCTCTCTCTCTCTCTCTCTCTCTCGTCCAAACAAAGCGTAGTTGACAAGAATTTGTCACAGAAAAATGTGCTCAAAGTGCTCAAAGCAAAGCTAATTGTGAATGCAACTTGTCAAAAGCGTTCAACGAGTCGAACTTTAATTAGGCAGCGCCTTGCACTTTACAGCTGGAAAAAAAAGATTTTTTATTTTCCATTTTGTTACGTACCGGGAACTCCCTTTAGGCGTGGCAGGAATTCGTTCCAAAATGCACAAGCTGTTGTACGAGGACCTCTGCCGAAGCCAGTCTTTTCCGCATTCCAAATAAAATATTTTGGATGATCTCTGGTATAAGGTGGCCATTCAGATTCGCTTGCTGTTGGCATCCTGAAAGACAGATTAAAAAGTAAAGATTAAAAAGTAAAATGTGTCACTCTAGTAAATTGTGCGAATATTTCATAATGAGCAAATAGCAAACTATAATAAAACTGATTTTCAGAAATTAATACTGTGAGAATCGGTGATCATTTTTAACCTTTAATTTACACAACTAAAATACAAAGTATAATTTTTGTAATTTTACTTAAATACGTCAAACTTAATTACTTCAAATATGAAATCAAGTTTTCGTTAAATATTTTTTCGATTTACTGTCTTTACTGTCTGGTAGTAAAAGTATTTGATTTATTTTAATATTCACTTTAGCATAGTACATTTACCTCTAATGGAATAGCAATTTTCAATATAACCACTATTCCAGAAATTATATGATTATAATAGTTTTTAATTATAGATTTTGTGTTTTTACCAATAAAATCACAAATTTCCCATTTCACAGTTATATACTGCAGATATGTCAGATGTTTGGTTCAATAATTTCGGATATACTAGCTGTGATATCACGCTACTGACAATGAGAGTAAAATCTCACACCAGACTGTTTTACTGTATATAATAAAATTTAAGCACACGTATGTAATGTTATGGATAAATTTAACAATACCGGAAGCTAATTTTCAAATAATCTGTAAAAATACCACATTTAATTAATTTTCCATAATATTCCTGTATGTTTAATTAAAACAAAATCGACTTTGACATGTTTTCATATACCCGCACTCCTTCCCCCATTTATTCTTTTATCTTTCATGCTAGGTGTTACAGTACATAAAGGTAGATTTCAAATATCATATGCAAAAGCCATATGTCTCTGTCGCAAACAACAAAACGAAGAATCCTATTCATAAAGAGCGAAACGTCATATAATAACTTTAAATCTTAATAAATTTATCAGTACAGGAATATAGTACAGGAAATCGCCCCCCCCCCCCAAAAAAAAACTTGATAGACGGAGATGTACTCTGTACAAAAATTTGAACAATTTTATCACTAATGCAGTAAAGTACAGAATTCTTCTAATCCTTTCGTAATTAGACTAATTGATTTTTATTATAATTTCAACATTTTATTAAAATATAAAAATTGTTAGATGCAATTTATAACGTGAGATATTTTATAATATTTCGCGTTAAAATGTGTAAATTGAAAATCGTATTAAATAGAATGAAATTAAGAATACAATAATTCCGCTTAATATTTAATTTTATACATAATTAGACTCAAGAAATATGATTAATTGTTTAATAAATTTATTCAATTAATAAATATGTCATATTTTGGTTGTAAGTTCTTTTAACAATTTAGACTATTTTATTTAAAAATGTTTAAATATATATTCGTGAATAAATTCTTTTAACCATTAAGACTATTTTATTTAAAAATGTTCAAGTACTCGTAAAAAACTATTTTTGTGGTCAGTACGCAACACTCACATTTTCGTATTAACAAAAAATGGAAATTTAGGTTTGAAGCATGCGGCAGCGAGTTTCTGGCGAACTTACTTCTCCTCATGGTTATAATTTGAATTTAAATTAAGTTTGTTTCACACATCAACGAACTCTTCTGAACACGTTGACGTCTATGACACGTATCACTTATATTTATAATTTTATATTACATTGAACTGCATTAGCATGCGCAAATTTTATTAAGTATTTTATCGTTTTGGCCAAATATTTAACTATATATATATATATTGAATAAATGTGATAAATCTTTACACTTTAATAAACATCAAACACATGATGTTGCACAACTCCGTAATACGTATTATTCCTAATACCTACCCTGTATATGCAAATCGTGCGAAATAGTGAATCATTCTCAAAGACAGTTCTCGTTCTTTATCGGTGTATTCCAGAGACTTATTCAAGGGATGCCCAAAGACGTATTCCACTTCGTCACCGTGCATCACACCCATCCATTCGCCCCATACATTCGTACTTGTCCTCTGCAACACAATATACGCTTCATCATTATTTCGTCAATTTGACGTTGTTATATCAAAGATAATACATTTATCACAGCTCTTTCATTTAATATAGAGATAAAATATATGTCAATTGATTTTATAGTTGCATATTATGTCGCAAGATGCAAAAATATGCCATGGCCATTGTATACCTATAAATTTTGAGGCAATGCTTTAATTTTAATTTATCGGCGCATCCACTCATATAATAAATGAAATGGATAAATTAATATAAGTAGATATTGATTTTCTATGTCAGATTAATTATCAAATAATTTTATATTTTATAATTTATGCCAAATAAACCTTTAAGTCCTTAGCAAAAAATATTATTTTTACTGTAAAAAATAAATAGATGCATGATAAAAAATGTTCAATTATCTTAGAATATATTTTGCACAAATATATTGAATAATTAATAATAATAGATAGTAAATAATAAAATATATAGACTAGAAGTTGAAAATTACTTGACTATTAATATATATATGTATACTTTGTCGTAATAACTTAATAGATTTTATCGTATATATCCAAAGATGCAATTTTATTTTTTACTTGAATAATTGTGTATTTTTATAAACTATTAAAAAGCAATCAGTGGTATTAAAACTGCAACAATAAAATATTTTGAACGAGGAATACAAATTCTTACAAAATAAAAGTGAGTTCTATTTCTCAAAATAAAATTATTTTTCCTGGAAAAAAAATTTAATTTTTTTACAATATGTTTGAATTTGCTTTAAAATTAAACATCTTATGGTAAATAAATTTTTATTAAAAAAAACTCGCGACTATATATGATAAAAGATGAATATGTTAAATAAAGAATTGGATGGATAATTGTTAATTTTTATGTAGACTGATACCGCATACACTTCCAATTTCTTTTACAATATTTAATTAAAATATGCAGGTGTGCATAAAATGCTGTGGATGCCTGTGGATAGCAGTATTACGGTATAAAAGAGTCAAACTGCAAAGAGTCCAAAGTGTTCGAGATCGTAATATCATAATCGTATATCAAGACATATATGTATATTGGATATCAATTTCGGGTCGATATGGATACAGTCTGACTGTACTCTGACTCTGCAACTCTCTGCGACGAGCTGAAATTGCAAGGGTGGAAACACTGGAAACAGAGGTAACGCGAACAAGCGACAAAAAAAAGACGCAAGCACTTTCGCGTGAGCTTTTGTCTTTCTAACCAGTGGGTAAAACCGTTATTAAGATTACGGCTGGCGCGCATGAGTAATGACATCCTCTTTACTTCCAGCAGCGCTTCGAAGAACCGAGCAGTACTACCTGATAAATTACCTTCTCCGCTAATTGCTCGAGCCTTCGTACCGCGGCATTTCGCTTACGTGCGTTTCATGGCCCAGGGACTGCAATGAAGATAGAAGGTAGTGCGAAGTGAGGGGACGCGAAAAAGAAAGAAGAGAAAAGAAAAGAGAAAGGTAAAGTGAAAAGTGCAACGCGAAAGGTTGCAAAAAGGATGCTACAAGAAGGGGAAAGAGTGAAAGAGAAAGACAGAGGAGAGTAGAGAAGGAGGGAAGGGCGAGACAATGCGAGAAAATGTTTGCGCGAGAGGTGGAAGATGGAAAATGGAGTAGTGAAAAATAGGGTATGCGTCAAGTGAGTGGAATAGTGCGGAGAAAAGGGGGAAAAAAAGAAAAAAGGGCGGCGTCAAATATATAGGAAAACAGTGACGTGATCAACGACATGGATTAGATAAAAGCGCTATTTTCTAATAAACAGAAACTTCGTTCACAAGTTTATGATAGGCGCATCGCAGATGTTACAGCTAAAAAAAAAGACATAGCTATTATATAATTTAATATTTTTGACTAAATTATTTAAGAGAGATCATTTAACATATAACAAATAGCCAGTTGCAAATAATGAGATAAAATGTTAGATTTTTCTCTTATTATTTGTATGATTATATATTATTGCACGAAAAATAATATGATAATCAAAATAATTTTGAAATAAACAATGCGAGTATCAAAGTTTCCTTCGCGCTGAGCTGGAATTTCTAGTTGCAATATTTCAACTCCACTCTTTGTAATATCATTATGCATATATCATATTTCTGCAAACTTTTTTCATGCACTTAAGGAGATATCAACTATCGTAAAGGATTCAATAACGCGTTACATATAGTTTAAATTGAAACGTTTAAGAAAGAGAAAGAGAAGAAGGGAAGCTCAGATTTCCTTACGATTTCGGGTAAGCTGGATTTGGCACGTGGCCAACAGACCACTTGTCACTGGATTCAGTGATAAATCTTACGTCAATTTACTCAGCTCATATATTTTGCCTATTATGTTCACATTTTGATATCCCTCTATTAGCAAAATTTTATAAAAAAGAAAGAAATTTTGTCAGAAGTATATAACATAATGACAACAAAATTAATCAAATTAAATATTTATTTAATTAGAAAATTATAGAGCTCTATCTCTAATTAAATATATTACAAAGATAAATAAATACTACTTTTATTCATATAAATTGTATAAAAAGACTTTATTAGCTAAATATTTAACATCTTTAAATATTTAACATCCTTAAATACAAAAAATATAAAAATATTTTTAATAATACATATTTTTAATAATATATGTTCCAAGATTAAAATCTCTTTCACAAATGTTTATTTATTCAAAAAAATTTTTCAATTTAAGGCAACATGAATATTTCAATTTTTAAATTAAATATTTTTTATATTATGTGCTAAACAAAAATCCATTAAAATAGTACATATATGACATAATCGTGATATTTGATATCTATTAACAGCAAACATACCCTCGCTAGTTTTATTTTTCTCAAAATTGTCTAAAATAATGACTTATTGTTAGATGTTTTTTTAAAACACATTATACAATTTTGATGTTTATGGCTCAATTAAGCAATCGATAGAAGAGATTTTATAAACGTGAGGAAGAGCCGGACATGACAGCACGGAATAGCGGCAAACGCGACACGTTATAACATAGTAGAACGTCCGCATATGTAGAGTATATAAGCCTCTCCCGCGTGAGTTTGCATTTCAAATAATTTCGGTGGTCGCGAGGAGGTGGAACGGTAATTGTACAGCGTCATGAATGCGCACAATTTGCCGCATTCTGGATTTAAACATTACACCTCCGTGACGTTGTGGAGGATGCATTATCTTCCGGTATGATAACACCGCGCTTGCGCAAATTGGCGATCGGCAAAACGGCAAAATAAATCACGCGAACGTGATTCGTGCGTGATTGATAATGTGGGTATATGTTGATATCTGATGGTTATTATTCGCTACCCAAATATTCGCCACACTTTATCGTGGCAACAGCAGCACACCGATGATTGATTAATGTTACGAGTGAATTGTTTCCACTTATGTCACGTTAAATTCACTTACCGCCTCAGTTCCGCTATAGATTTTTTTTGTTTTCTTTTGTTTCTCCGTTTTGTGTGTGCTCCCTTAGCTATTTCCATCACAAAATCTTCTTATTGCGTTATATATGCAAGCGATTCAGAATCCAATTTACATAATACTTTTGCGGTAATTTCCCAGTATTGTAAACTCTGTTCTTTCAGTTTACTTTGAGAGAATAGCGGCATAAGCTCAATAATACAACAATCTTCCAATCATCGGCTGCGCCGAGCATGTATAACGCAAAGATATTGAAAGCATTGCTGATATGATTTATCAAAGTACACGAAGCAATTAAAATGTTTCAATACATCTGAATTACAACACACATACAGGTATACTTAACGAAACTCTATGAATATTAAAAAAATGTGTGTATGAGCGTGTGTTGTTTGTGTATTTTTAGATGTATTACATATAATAACTACATTATAGATGTATATACATGAAAAATCCAAGGAGATGCAACAGCATATTCTTGAGACCAAATTAAGTCAAAAAGTCCTGTACCACTTTTCCTTCCGACAAACAATTATCGAGATATCGTAAGCTAAATATTGAAAAAATTACCAAGTTTTCCTTGAATATCTCAAAAAGTATTAGGCAAATAAAAAATGTTTCAGACAAAAGTTGTTCAAATTGATTAGTAGAAAAAGAAGATACAATAAAAAATGGAGGGTTTCCATTTAATAAATTTAACTTGGGCCCTGCTGGATTCAACACAGACCCCGGACCCAAAATTTAATAAGGTCGTCTATTGGACCCCTTCAAACCCTCCAACTTTTATCTAAAACATTTTTCCAACAAACCAATATTTTCAAAGATAACACTCACAATCAGAGCTTGTAACACTTCAAATGACTCACCCTGTATACAAGCGCAAAGTTTTGTAATTGTATAGAATATTTAAAAAATTGTGTGCTTACATTCAATCATACATTTAAGTACATTTAACGATTAGCAATTCTGAGTTGTCGGCAAATAAAAATTTCTTATTGATTAATTAAGTGACAAAGACAAGAATAAAAAATTTTCCTTTCATTAGTTAAATATAATTTAATAGTGATTGACAAAAAATATAACGTAAGTCTAACAAAATTGTTATTTAAGACTTAATTTACTTAATATATTTATTATTCAAAAGTAAAAGAGATGAAATTTTTCCAATTGGAACAAGAAAATAGAAAGGTTTTATCAAGAAGTAATTGATTGCGTTGAGATACTCTATAGTTAAAAATATATAATGTATTATTATTCTTATTAAAAACAATTATTATAAAATATCTATTGTTAGTCAACTTACAATTAGTAAGGAAATATTTAATTTGTCCATATATACATCTATTATATATAAACGTATATACGCATACGGCATCTCATAAATTACATTCTGTTGACGCCACATGACAATCTTGACAACTTAAATATTTTTCGGTTGACTTCGTAGATCATGGAGATGTATCATCATAAAATTATTAAAATACATAATATATAATAATGGTTTGTTAATTGGTCATTAGGTATCTCTTGAGACGTGCTTATTGACTAATATCTAATATCTGTTCTATAACCGAATAACGTAACGACAGAGATAGCATTACCTGCGTGAAAAAGTAGTAGTAGACCTTCATGCCGCGATCTGCGAATAATTGCGCGAAATGTGTGGATGGGCAGATGAAGAAATAATCGCCCACGATGTCCGCTATCGCTCTCTGATTCTGATAACCATCGTTCATCCGATCCCAATCGGTATACTGAAACAAAAATCCGTACAAATTCCCATTAAAGATTTATCAATTAATGTTTAAGAATTTAATCTTAAACAACATGTCTAGTTTCAATTTGACACTTTTATAACTTGGACACTTAAAGAAAAAAATACTTTGGTTTCAAAATTTTTTAAATGGATTGTTCAAAAGCTTTTAAAGAAGAAAAATCATAGCCTTTTTCTTTTATTGAACTTCTTGAACGTTTTGAGAAATAACGTTTACAAAAATAACACTACAAACTTTTTTTCTACTTCTTGTTAATCTCTAAAAACTATAATTGTACATATGAGTCCAATTGAATTTTGTTCTATAACAATTTCATTTTTAAAATAAAATTAATATTTCGCACGTAATTATTTAATTATTTGTATTATAATTTTGTTTTATTAGATACATTTTTACTAAAAATTAAAGGAATACTTAAAAAAATGAAACGTTACAGAGTACAGTATATAATACAAAAAGTAGTATAATTTAGGGCTCCAGGTAAAGGTCTACCTTAAAAAACCTAACACGCTTCTATATAGATGATGTGGAAGAGAGTCCACCATTTTAACATCCTTAAAACTGCACAATGTGTGCAGGTGCACATCTGTTGAGATTTCCGATTCTCTGAATAAGAAATTGATTATCTTCTTTAATTTTTGCATCATATTAATTTCGCCATGTTAGATTTAGCATTTCTGAAGTGTTTTATTTTGGAGTATTTCCTTAGCATTTAATAAAAAGAAAAAATAATAAAATTAAACTATAATACAAGTAATTAAATAATTGGAACAAAATCATTACTAATCGAATTACTATTAAAAATGATTTATTTCGAACCCCTTTATAAGCCTAGGCTAATTTTGCCCACGGATTTAGACGGATAAAAATGCTACCATCTCGTATTCAGTGACCCAAAAAACGTAAGAGTACATGTTTAACTTACGTTACTCTTTTTACAGGCTAAAATTGGCCCATTTTACTCATCGACCTTTATCATTGAGAAAAAGAAGGTGCTAGGAAGGTGCTAGGAAATTAAAGCATCTTCCAATAAAATAAATCTCTTTTAATGTCTCTTACAGCAAATATATAATGACATATACATATAAAATATCACGAATAAATTGCGAGTTTGATTCATCCTATCTCTTATCTCTCTACAGTCTACCTTATCATCGTTTATTAATGAATCGTGTTTTAAAAGAAAATAGTTTTTTATCCAAATGTAACGCGATTATAGCCCGCGGATTAAAAGAGATTACTATGGTATCGATGGTGGTTACTGGTTACGTATCGGATCACTTTGTATCGTCAATTTCCTTCCAATCGAAACGACAGTAAAGTGCACGCTTTTACAAATTCATTTCGTTCGATCACTCGCGCGAGTCGCGCGTGGGCGGGATCAGCAGACGGCATGAATTTATCAAAGACACGAGTTCCCGGCGACCTTTACGCGCACTGTATGTATCATCGTAAACGAAAGGCATCCTCGCTCTGCTGGCGTGCCTTGTTCCCGGATACTTAATGAAATGTACACGGAACTCGAGGTTTCACGCAGCTATGAAACAGCCCTTGACAAAGCAACTTTGACGTGCCATTCTACTGATCGGAAAGTAATTAGCGGTCAGCCAGCAGAATGAAGCTCTTTGAAGAGTGACATTACCTCAGTACATAACGATATCGATTTTCCCCGTAACCATAGCTGACCCGTTACGCACTAGAAAACCTACTGGAAGTGTCGTATTCGTTGCAAAGTGTTCGATCCCCTTTATGAAATTTTGCGCGAGAGCATTACTATAGTCTCTACAGAGACTACTTTGTCTCATTTTGAAAAAAACACAATTGACACAAAATTGACAAAAATGTTGACTCTCTATAGAAAAGAATGTAATGAAATCTATTATATCCATGAAATTGTCCTAATTTTATACAACTGTTTTAATACGTATATATATATTAATAGATATATCGTTATACAAGATAAATTTTATTAAATTAATGAAATTAAAACTTATTATGTACAATGAGAATTCTTTCGATGATAGATTTAAAATAATTTGAATTTGTGATATGAGAACGAGTGGAATAGCATTAGGTTTAATTGCAATCGTTCGTTGCTATCGAAAGCTGAAAGATTGATAAATATTCTCTTCCAAATCAAATAGAAATTTAGACTTTACTAGTCGATAGGCAGAATTGTTTCTGATTAAAAAAAAAATCATGATTTGTTATAATCACAATTATACAGGGCACTGCCATGTCTCTGATTCGCGGAAAATCCACGCGCGCGCAAAAAGATGGAAACGCGGAAAAAGCCGTAGAAAAAGGAATAGAGGAGCAGCGAGCAGCGAGTAGGCGTTCCAATTAACGGTTTTTCACTTTACACCCGCCCATATCTGACGCGATACGCGTCAGTAAGAAATGTACGTTTAATAATATTATATAATCATGGCCGATCTTTTTTTAGAGAAAGGAACGGATGCTGGCGTATATTTTTAATAGGATATTTTTCCACATATTACTGCAATACTGCAATACTTGGAATCCATGATGATTCGCAACACGTATGTGCATGGGCATTTAAACAAATAGACATAGTAGAAGAAGAAGATGTAGTGCAATTTTATGTTGCTACGAATTAACAACGTATATTACAAATTAATTGTCATAAAAAACATAAAAAATTAAGAATTATATTTATAAAAAATTCTCTTTGTTAGAAATTATATTTGTTATAATTTCATTTGGTTACAAAAGAGGAAGAGGACGCAAACGCGCGCGTGTGTTTACATATCTATCTTCGGTCTTTAACCGACTTTTACCCAACAGTATATTCTGATAGATCATGGCATACTTTCTTTGTAAACTTTTTGAATTTTTGCAATATCTTCAAAATTGAAGAAAATATAGTACACGAAAATGTGCGTGACGTCATAATGTTGTTGCGAAATCTTTTGAAGTTGCCGTCATCAAAGAAACTTTAGAAAGCTATAACTTTCTCAAATTTAGGTTTTTTTTTTAAATTCAAAAAGTACTAAAAATCGGCTTAGATTCTCTACATTAATTATGGATACCGCTTAATAAAAAAATTTTACTTAAGAACCCAATTGGCAAACCGTGGGAAGGTAAATTGACATCTGACATAAGTATGGTCCGTATGTTTTTCTATGCTACAAAAAAAAAGCCTGAAACGACTTAGCGACAGTTACAAGTTGAAGTTTGCTAACAAGAAGAACGCTCGAGGCCAATGAATACAGCCGAGAGCCGAGGTCTCGCTGAGTGGTTAGTTTGCAAAAAAATATGGGTCGCAGAGTGCTGCATGCTCTGCACCTCTGGTCGACGCATATACATATATTTCTGTATGAGGAACATAATTCGAGCGTTATCTCAATCCCCCGTGAAAGATCTTGCTTTGCAGAATTTAATCGCGTTTAACACTAAAACGCGCGCTTTAAAGCGCGTTCTATTTGTTCGTATAAATAAATCTATTAGAAATGAAATATTAATATTTCTCTTTACTTTGTATTTTGTATTGTAGTTGTATTCTTTTTATTTTGTGATTTGTTAATTATAAACGATTAAAATAGAAAAAGATGTATATCGTTAGATTTCTCTAATCTAACTTTCATTAATATTCATTTATTACCACTAACGATATATTAATAATTTACATCTTAATTTTATTTAATATACATATTCGTACGTAAGAATAATTTCTAGTTTCAAAATTTTCTATATTCTTAAAATTTTACCTTTTGCGACTACGTGTTTCACTCAAAAACTTGTAGTCGATTTAGCATAGAGATAATCATTAAATTATTTTTTTAAAAACATCAGAAGAATCAGGGAAACTCGCTTTAAAAAAATGGGATTTAAAAGAAAGAATTTGTATCGACTGCTTTTAACATTTCTCCCAAGAAAAACGCAACTCCAAAACTTGATGAAAAATTGTCATTAAATAATAATATAATGGTATAATAAAAGAAATGATATAGCACAAATACTTTGCGTGCATATAAAACAATATTTATATACATGTTATGAGTAATTAATGTTTATATATATACATATATTATTTTCCAATTGTTTGTCATTATTGTATTATATTCAACGTCATAATATTTTATAGAAGTTTAGAAATATAATACGTAGTGCGATGCACGAAAATGTACAACGAGACTTACTTGGAAAATGATGGCTTCGCGCTCGATTTGCGACATATTCTTGAAGATAGAATTGATGATGTTGAGAAACTTGTCTCGCTCCAGAAAACTGGCTTGATCTTTCTCGAAGAAGTCAATAAAGTCGTATAGAATAAAATACGTTCCTGAAACAGAAATATATGCATGCATGTTAAACGAGAGGTACATTATAAAGTTTGTAAAGAAATATTTAAAAATATATTTATAATAAATACATTGGAAAAAATTACAACTTTTAAATGCATAACATCTTAATTTTGAATATTTTGATAAATCAAAATATACGAATATTTGTTTCGTCATATATAATTACGTGAGACAAGATTACCGAATAAATTCAAAAAGATATATGGAAAGAGAATAGAACGCTTTATGTCAGCGCGTTATTCGCAGTTGGCGCGTGCTACGTTTATATTTGTCCGTATACAAGTACCGTGCTTGTACCGTACTTGGCAACTACTTGTTCGCTGTACATTACATCCAATGCCATAGGGTAATAACGAAGATAGATATTCCTAATTGCACGCAAGTATAGCGCAGCACATGTAGTGCAACATTTATATAGCACATTTCGTAAAAGCAAAATATCGAGAAATAATATTATTACATATCAGCAATTATTACATATATATAGATAAGAATTTTACATTTTAAAAAACGCTCATTAATTTTTGTTTTTATGAAAATTCTAAGATTCTAAAATAGGAATAACAATGGAGTAGAGGAGTATAATGAAAAATATAACAATATCGAAAATTCTAGACGCACGATTAATTTTTCGTAAAAAATTTTTTTTATATATTTCGCGATTTTGATGATAGCCGCTTAAAATTGAATGTGCCGAGACTAGTAACGAGTAATAAATAAAGACTGTTTATTTTTTAATTAATTTATACCTAAATTAATCCCTAATTATATCAAATTAATTCCTAAGCATATGGAGAAGGTATATGTTATAAAAACATATGTAACTCTTATATTAAGTTGTGCTGCACATGTGTGTGTGTGAGAAACATATATAAAATTTATTAAAATCGAACACTGTCGTGCATTTCCTTGTTAATACACTCAAGTTGTACACAGTTGACAATTTGTTCCGGTTTGGCAACTCATGTGCACACAACGCAACTACTGGGAGCGTTAGTACAACAAAAATGTCAGAAACACGATTTCAGAATGTTTCAGCTTGATTTAATGAAAAAAGTTGACTACCCGGCGTTATCATGCATTCTTGACTGTACGCGCGGTGTGAAACCCCGAATTTCCGGCTGCTTACACGTGCACAACGCGGAAACTTCATCCTCTTCTGGCGAACGAGAGTGTTGCCTCGAGCGTGCTACCGTCTTTCAGATCGTGTACAGTACGGAGACTACAAAGAGAGTGCTCCTTGGAAAGAAAATGTAGTTTTCCATTATAAAGATTTTCCTGTTGGACAATACGTACAACGATAATAGGCTGCTAGTCCTGACATTTATACACATTCTTTGAGAATTAAGACATATGATGGCGTCTCGTATCACGTATATATACAACAATCTGTTGCCAAGATTAATTATTATAATTACTATTATATGTCACATAAGTGTGAGTAAAATAAATTAATTTTTACAATAATTATTGATTCAAAATATCCAAGAAATAAATTTAACAGCTATCTGTGCTGTTATTTGCGCGCGCGTGTGTGAGTGTGTGTGTGCGTGCGTGCGTGCGTGCGCGCGCCTTAAATTATTTCCAAAGTTGTTTTTAATAGCCTTAAATATCACTTATTTTTAATTAATATGATATGCTAATAATTGATGTGTGTGTTATACGTACTTGCAATCATATAAGCCAACTTCATTTATTCTTGTGCTACAGAATTATTAGTGAGAATGAGACATTCAAAATATAATAAAATTCAAAAATTATATTAACAAAGTTATTCTCGTCATACACAACGTAATTAAATTTAATTGTAAAATATAAATAACTATAATATTGCATAATAAAATATACATTTTATTTTATTTTCCTTTCAAGAAGTGAAAAAACTCAAAATTGATGTCATTAACAAAATAAACATAATTACGTTGTTAATTATCTATGAACAATTTTATCATCAATAAATAATATATATTTGATAATTCCGGAGTGTCATTATACAATCGAACAAGATAAAAATATTAAATTTTAATAAATTTATTATGTGGATATATGTATTTCCTGGCACAACATTAATAATTTGCATAGGTACACCTATGCGCTAACGAAACTCCCTTGGTTCATACATGCATCTAAGTTTCTGTCTGAAATTATGCCACCATGACTCATGTCAGAATCAAATAGGTTCATTTTGCGCTCATTACTTGGTTTCCGCAAATATGTTAATGACATTGCACTTATACATACTTATGTAAAAATGTGCAATAAATGTTAATATTTAACTTTGTTTATATTAACTTTTAACATTTAGCGTATTATCTTTATGTATCAAAAATTCTATTTTCAACCAAGAGATAAATTGTTTCGCCTAAAAGCAAAAGAAATCAATATCATTCTATTATTTCATCATTAACTTTAACTATATTTAAAACCGACTGACTTTTTAAATGCTATTTAATTCTTCTAAAAAACATTTTTTATATTTATAATGCACATATATTTATTTTTTATTTAAGAAAAGATTGCATAACTTTAATTTTTTCTAATAAATATAGTTATATTAACTAAAAAAATTAAAAAAAATGTAAATTAAGAAATAATAAATAAAATTCAGCAAAATTTTTAAGTCGTAAAAGATTAAAATCACACACAACTATAATAGAAATATTATTACTATATATTCAAAACAGAATTATTTAATTTCTTTATCAAAAACAGTTTTATTTGAAATTCTACTCAAAGCATATTTCTATATTTCTTGTTTTGTATAATAATTTATGTTTAAATACCTATTTTGTTAGTTATATGTAAATAATATCAATTGAGAAATTCCAAATTAAATATAACAATTATATAATTATTTTATGTGCCTAATTGTTTAGCGATTGGTAAAGTAATATTATTTAATTCACAAACAGTGCAATAATTTGAATATTTTTGTACATTTTTCCTTGTGTATAAAAATGTCGATTTTCCATATACCCAAAATTGAAAGATCCAAACACTTTCTCATAATCCTGTAATGCAGCTATAATTCCGAAGAGCAATCGCAGCAATCTTTTATAACCCATAACGATAAAAAAGTGTTTCATATTTATAGTCATAAATCAAGGTATTTTCTGTTTATCTTTATGTATAAATATATATAAAAATAAGAGATTTCTACCCTTTCATAAATAAATAAGCGATATAGAATGATATAATGCTGTGGAATAAAACGCGTGGCGATTTTGTTTTCCTTCGTCTTCATTCTCCCCCTCCCCCCCTCTCTCTCTCCCTCTCTCTCTCTCTCTCTCTCTCTCTCTCTCTCTAAGCGAAAGAAATCAGGCTAAAAGAGAATATATCATATGTACTTACACCACAAACAATGTCAAAAATCACCCAAAAAGAAAGACCACGAATAGACAATAAACAGATTAAACTCTGCCAAAATAAAAGTAGTACATTTTTTTTAAACACACATTAATGAAGAAATCTCTTTGCATTTTAGTCATTTTAATTACTTTTCTGCCAGGCCCGGATTTTAACGTATTGAGAGCTTTCACTAATTTAAGCATAATTTTGCATTTTGTATACGTTTTGCGCAATTTCTACAAACTTCTTGGAAATGATAGCAAAAATTAATTTAATTTATCTATCCGAGAAATTTGTGCATCAGTAAAGCTTCAATAAAACAAAGAAATTAGGAAAAGAGCGAATACGTATGTTGCTAGATTTCAATAAATATTGATATTCGCATCATTTATTAATCGTAATATATATGCTAGAATCACAACATTGACAAATTGTTGCTCGAGCGAGGACGTTAATAATCACTCCTCTTTGAAAACAGTACTTTGAGTAATAAATACAAATGTATATATAAAAGTTATAAACAAAATAAACATTGAAAACGAATGTGTCATTGAATAAACAAATGCAGGAGAGGAAAAAGGGAACTTATAATAATAGAATTTCCTAATCGACGCTTCGAGTGACGAATGTATGCGAGGAAATTACGAATTCGATTACAACACACTTGTAAAAGGGCAAAAAAATTGATATATTTTAAATACATTTCATTCTTTCTTTTAATAATGAATGCATAAGCAAATTGAAAATTATTAATTAACGCGTCGGATGCATACAAGAACAATTTAGAGTTAAATTACAAATTCTTGAATTCGTACGCGCACGCCAACATTTCAATCGCTTCGAGAGAATTCCCAGACTGGTTGCAGGTGAATAATGGTACATACGATACTTTCTAAATAAACGGGTCGAGTATTTCGTAGTTTCTCTACTATATGTAACAGTACTTTTGGGAATTTGCCGACACATGGATTACTATGCATATGTGTTGAACTTAATTTGAGATTTACATTGGTGCTCTTTATGCAACTGTATTATATACAATCATATGTCCGTGTGCATTTAATGCAACATATATATACTACAAGTGTATATATATTCAAAAAAGATAAAGATAAGATGTTAAATACATTGCGTCTGCCGAGTTAAGATTATTATATAGGAAAGAATGTTGTTTTTTAATATATTAAAATTTGGAAGATATATTGTAATTTTTATTTAATTTTTTTTTTAAGTAAAAAAAATGACAATAACAAATAATAAAAAAAAACATCAGAAAATTACGCCGAGTATTTAATATTAACAATGTTATATATGTAAAAATTAAGGTGCAAAAGATAATTTTATATTTTACTTGTAAATATATATTATATACAAAATAATATTATACATATGTATATATGTATATTTTAATGCATTTTAATTCATATAAAAATAGGCAAATGTCAGCTAGAAATTTTTCAGTTTCTTAATTATAAAATTTTGCAATTTTAAATTTTAAGCTAAAATATCTCAGCATAGAGGACACATAGAGCAAAAGTAAAGACAATTTTTTTACACAATATAAACCCAACGAATCGATGCGGCGTAAGTATCTATAGCGCCCGCGCTTTGCTTCGCGTATACACTTTGC